CTCTCTGATAGAAACCAAAACTGCCGGTAGCTGATTTCAAGTGTTGAAATTTGTTTTGCAAAATATATTTATATAGAGATATACATATATATATATATTATGGTTTCAAAATATTTGCAAAAKGTTTTAATTCTCAGGATCCATGTGAGTAGAGAGTGCAACACTGTACCTTGCAGCCGAGGGAGAGGTCCTCTTGTCGGGCAGTGTTTGATCATTATGGGTGAGAGGTTAAGTGTAAGACCATTGAGGGTAATACCTGTTGGGCTAATCTTGCATCTGCACATAGTCCTTGGGTTTTTATAAGGTGGCTTGATCCAGGGACCATTTAGTGTAAATGTTTGGTCCATTAAGAGCCCATGGTGATGGACTCAGGGGTTCACTGTCTCCTATAGTGAATTCGGCCAAGCCTTGTAACAGAGGCTGGGCTGAACCCATGTGGCTGATGTGTAGATCAATGATTGAGTGTCACGCCATACAAGGATAACCAACTGGGCATCAGTTAGGAGGCTAAGTGAGCAGATGGACTTAATGGGCCTAAAGCCCAATTCGAACTGGCTTAATTAAATAAGGGCGGTTCTGGGATTTAGATCAGTAGATAGGATAAGGGATTATCCCTATCCACTCGGAGAGTCTAAATCCAAATAAAGATTTGGATCAGGAAACTCTTAATTAGATTAGGAGGGCTGATCTTTATCTGCAGATAAGATAAGGGATTATCCTGATCTCTTAAAGAGTCTAGATCCAAATACAAGATTTGGATTAGGAAACTCCTAATGGGATTAGGAGAACCTCTCTTTAAGGCTATAAATAGAAGAGCAGGGCGAACCTCCAGTTCATTCAACAGTCTACTGTTTTAAGAGAGAAGACAACATACAGTTTGATTGCTTTTGTCTTCTTCTTTTGCTCTCTCCTGCTCTTGCCGCCATACCAGTTGATCTCCACCTGTGGGAGCAATCAAGAAGGGTTCTTGATATTACCTTTTGGCAGAAAAGGTAATCTGAAGTTGTGCTCACCAGCCCTCCATCAGATTCTTGCTGAAGAATCGGGTTCTTGCTGAAGAACCATCCTGCTGATTCTGCTTCATCCTGCACCGTGTCATCTTCGGTGGAAGTAGTCTTTGGATCTTTCCTTGGGCGTGAACACCTTCATTGGAGGTTGTTGTTACTTCGTATCAGGTATAACCCTCCACTCCCTTTTGGTTTCAGATCTGGTTTGGTTTGGGTTCAAGATTGATCATTGAAAATGTAGTTTTCTAAAATAGGGAATGTGATTCCTATGAATAAACCCTAGTTGATTCTAGGTCAAAGTAGAGAAGAAGGAAGAAGAAAGAAAAGAGAAAGAAGAAGAGTGTTCGGCCAGACTAGAAGAGAGAATGT